GAACAATTTGCAATAGGGTTCCTCATTCTTAGGAACCCGGGGCGGGTTCCCGTTCCTAGGAACCCGGGGCGGGTTCCCGTTCCTAGGAACCCGGAACCCGATGCGGGTTCCCGTTCCTGGGAACCCGGGAACCCGGAGAGACTTGTCTCAAAAGGAAAGAAAAAGTATGTCTATGAACTCTAGTGTATTCAAAAATGCACAGAAATGAATTTTCAACTGGGTTCCCGTTCCTAGGAACCCGGAACCCGGTACGAGTTCCCGTTCCCAGGAACCCTGAGTGACTTGCTCAAAACGAAAGAAAAAGTATGTCTATGAACTCAAACGCGTTCAAACATGCATAGAAATGAATAACCAAGTGGGTTCCCGTTCCTTGGGAACGGAACCCTTGAGGAACGGGAACCCTGACACCCCTAATTCAAACTAATATAGACAAAATCGATTTATTTTATTTTTCAAAAATCTCTTCGAATTCGTTTTAGTCGACCAACATAGTTAAAATATGAGAGGAAAAATTTATAAAAATTAAACATTGTATAATTGTTTTCATCTAAATCAAAACTTTGTTAAATAGAGTTTTTGTAAGAGCTTTACATTTAACGGACTAATATTCTATGTTTCTACCACATTCCGGTCATACTTTTTCAAAAAAAATGTTTCACTTTGCTCGTAAGTGCAGGTAAAAAGCACAATTAGATATCAACAAAAAAAACCATTTTTTTTCATTCTCCTACAATCGAATAGCTATACATCATAATTCCATTAAATACATCATTTCGTTTATTCACATAAAATCACAATTCACGCTTCGAACCTGTCCGAACGAGACTGAAATAAAAGGTACATATTTTTGTTTTTTGTTGTTTCTAATATTTGTTTGTATTGGAACGACAACAAACGTCCAATCAATTCGTCGAGTGTTCTTTCAAAAAAAAAAGATTCTATGCCAATTGAAACATGCCTACAAGTAATCAAACATTGACAACTTATATTCCTCGAGCGATCTTATCATTTGATGAGAATGTAAGATATCTATTGTTCACACCATGAATATACATACACATCTAAACTATTTAGACAATCGGCGAGCCATCTCGGACCGTGAAAGATATAACAACTGATGTCAAAGAACTCGTGGATGTTACTCCTAAGTTAGTAAAGAGTGAAATAAAACCAATGTGATTATTAACATTTTCATGATAGAAGATTCTATAAATCGAGAAGTCTAATGTCAATTATTTAATATCGGATGTTGAGTATTTAATCATTATTTTATTATATTGATGCAGCTTTTTAAAATTTGAATGTTTCTTCTAAACCTATGATTTTTTTATAGGGCTGGACTATCCACAACAGCTAAAGTGCTCATTGTTATTGGAGTTGCTGCCGTAGCTGCGGCTGTAGTTGCTGTTGGCGTGACACTAGGTATCATGCTGAATACTACTACAGGTAAGTTTAAAAAATTGTTTTGTTCAATAAAAGTAATCACTAATTTAACCCTTTCGGAACATAGGAGACGCTTATAAGCGTCCGTGTCTCGAAAAGGTTTATATAACTGGATGCATAATATTAATTTATTGTTCTAATTGATATTACTCTAGTCGCCGGTATGAGTAACACACATATACACCTTTCTCATCCCAAAAAAGTGAATAAAGCCAATTAAAAATGAAAATTAATTGACTTTGACTAATTTCGTGTTTCATCATTTTGCTTTGAAAAAAAAAGAATTCCGTCCTGAAAGGGTTAAAAAGAAACAAACGATGAATACAACAGCAATTTTTTTTTAATCTCTTCATCAATAACTTCGAAATGATATATTAGATGTTTTGAACATTCATATTTACACTAAAATAGTGCATAAAATTGTGCAAAGGTCTCAAGATCATATAGCTTCAGTATAAATAACAGACAATGCAAACTTAGCTGAATTAATTAATATCTCATGAATCGATAGACTTATTTCGAACAGAAATATGAAACGTTCTACTAAGAATTTTCATCATCATCATTTTTTCTATTTCCTATTTATTGAAAACTAGCGAATAAATGTTTCGGTATATAAAATAAAAAGATTCTTATTCAAGAGTATCTATTTTCTATTATACTTCTCTTTTTGTTTTTCAATACTAGAGACAACCCGTACAACAGTCACTACGACTACTACTACCGCCACAACATCCAGTAAGTTAAAATGCAAATTTTTAGCTGAAAACGAAGAGCTACGAAGATTTGCTTTTTTTATGAGAGATTTATTAGATTTTTTTAAAGCTTCGGAATATTTTTTCTCTATATCATATATTATGGAAGTAGCACTTCTTTTACAAGATTAATCTAAATATATCTCAATATAAATTAATTTTTTTTTCAGTGGATTTATTCTCAAAAACAGTATTGTATTACAGGGACTGTCATATAAATTTCTTAACATGAAATAATTCCTCAATAGATCTATTCTAGATATGGGCTTGTCCGCAGGTAACGCACTCACGTTTTGATAACTTTCTATCTTAATTTCTCCCAAATAACTAAACACAGAGCCCTGATTTTTGGTGCATAGATGCATACTATCAAGTTGTTTAATGTACAAAAGTTTCATCTCAACTCACTTTGTGGTTCACGTTTTACAAGAAAAATACATGCCGGTAACGCACTTACAAAAAAGGTTCTGTTTTTTTGATTGCTATCGGAGATGATTCATTTTCAGCAAATGCGTACGTTAGAACGACATATGATCGAGAAGAAGTTTGTAGTAGACAGTCTGGAATATCTACTGAAAACAAGACATTTTCAAAAATGTTGTCCTACTGTTGAGCTATACACTGATAATTGTGGTAATGCATTCACTCAACTTTATAGCCGCTCACTAAAAATGCTATTCTCACAATCTTCACAGAAAACAGGAGATGATCTGTTCATGCCAAACTGTAGATCTAGCATCAAAATCACTAGCAACATCTTCATTTTTTATCAGAGTCAAGACACTGATCGAGATATGATAAGAGATAAATGTGAATTTTTAAGCGATTTTGGCACAAAAATGCTTCATTTTGGCTGTCAACTACTGTTCCTTCTCAAAATCTTTCAAGATAAACCAGATAGATCGACGCAGAATGTACGAAAACCTATTTGAAAACTTGAATTGAACACAATTAGTTGTGCTCAGAATGAGAATTGCAATTCTCAACTTCAATAATGCTGGGCGCCCGTTAGCCGGACAAGCCGATATACATATATCTCTGTTGGTATTCCTTTGCATCTAACTCTCTAACGTGAATTGATCCTTCCATGAATCAATTTATATCGATAATCGTTGTTCTAAAATTTTTACAACTAATTAACAACATCGGATTTCTCAATGGTTAGAGTGATGACTTCTCAGTTCATATATTTGATATTCGAATCCTTATTCGATTCACTCTTGTTTTTGTTACTAAGGACTGTTTTTTAAGCTTAACATACTATAAAGAAAATCTCTATAACAATCCCTGTGAAAGAAGAATTCTACCATATAATACCGACACCCATATTCTCAAATTTTAATATATTCCAAAACAAGAACAAATACTAGAATTTATTTAAAAAATCCCGAAAAAAAAACAAGTTCTAGAAACTGCTGACAATTAGTTATCTGAATAATGATCATTTGATTTACATGCTCTGATAATTGATAAGCATTCGAATTCTTAGAAAATAATATTGTACAAGGTTTCCATGTCGAGACAAAAAATCAAAAATTCTCTATGCAACCATAGTAAAACAAAAAAACCTGACAAATGTAAATATTTCGAGTCGAGAGTAACAATTGATTGTCCGTAGTTTCTATTCTTACTAATTAAATTAAAAGACAAAAGTGTTCACACATCACACATTTATGTGTCGAAATTAGAAATCTATAAATTATTATGTTAGTAACTGCTTTTAGGTTTTATTTTTATTCATTGATTTTTTTTACAATATTAAAGCATCTTTCTAATATTAAAAACTCAGTATATACATAAAACTGACAAAAAATAAGTTGTAGTTCTTGCTTCGTATTGTACATACATGATTAAATCTTCATTTCTAGCTACAACAACTGCTATGGCAGCACCCTCAAATCTCGTTGGTTATCGAAGTAATATTAATCAAAGTTATGTTTTTGCTTTAACGGGATCTCGTAGTGGTACTATATGGGGTACAAATATTTACACAGATGATTCGGATCTTCCCACAGCTGCTGTACATTCAGGCATTGTTCAGTACAATCAAACAAGCGTAATCACGGTCACAATATTAGCTGGTCAAAGTAGTTATACAAGTACTACTCAAAATGGTATTACTTCTCTTTCATACGGCTCTTGGGGTGGTAGTTATACTATTGTTAGTGTCATTGGATGATAATAACGTGTTTTTTGTTTTTTCTATCAAATATTCTTCAAATAAACATTAACATATTGATGTTAATTTCTAACTTGTAATCTCAAAACAAATTTAAACTATGAAGGATGTTTCATACTTCTTTAGTCACTTTATTTTTTGTTTCGTATGCAATTATTGTTATCTATGTAAAAAAGAAGAAAAAGTCAGCAGACATCTGAGAAATCATCATTGGATTTTTCATCAGAATAAAATGACAAACGAAGATAAACTTTTTAATATCTTCAAAAATGAGTAAGAATAATGCATACATTCTAGCTGAGTCATATAAAACTGTAATAGGTACACACATTTCTTTTTGTTTTGTGTCCTTCATAAAGAAAAAAAAAATAGTCAGTTTTCATTACTTGTCATCATACCATTCGACAGAACAGCGTGTCGTATTTCACAACATGATGCAAGTCAAACATATGTCATTGTATGTTTATTATAATTTCTTCTTATCAATGCAAAAGAGTCGGCCTTAAATAAGCATAATAGTATTATTTGGCGTACAGAAACTGGATAAACTTAATAGGATTGTGACGAACCAGTTGTTAATCAGGTGAGGTTTTAATTATTATGGCCAATCAGACAAAAAAACAGCTCAATGACATGTACATGTCAGAGAAAAGGAGATTAATGCTTATGATCATTGATAAGTACTTGATCGAGAGAACAATCATGTATTTTTAACATAGATTTTGTTCTCTTCTCAGTCTGATTGTCATAATGTAAAGATTATGAATGTGAGTCATTAAGAGTATAATCGTAATAAAAAATTGCTGGTAGTTGATTTCAAAATTTGATTCTTTCAAATATTTATATTCGATCCTGTTAGTTTTCTTCTGTTTATGTATGACTCATCTATTCTTTTATATTTGATCAATTTTGTATATAGAAAACCTTCGTTTGAAACATTTCGAATGCGAAATATTTTTAACGTTCATCAAAAAGTTAAACAGACATATCTCTTTTTGTTTTTTATTCTGACAATACATTAATTGTTACAATGACTGTTCATTTCTCTTCGTCCAAATAATTAACAAAAAGTAAATTCTCAGACAAGAAAAATTTGTTTATTTCAGAACAATGTCTTCAATTATATGTAATGTTCCTTCTGATGTATCTGTTCCTCCACGGTTCGTCGTTAATCTTGATTCACCTCCAATGTTAAGATGGCAACATATCTTACGTCTATATAGAGATCAACTTCGTGAAGTTGAAAAAAAGATCGATTCAATGGTGAATGAAATTGTTGGTCAATGGATGGGTCCTATGTTTGAAAATGTTCTATCAACAATCATGGCTGGTATAACACAATTAGGACTTGTTTATTATGGACAAGAATTGAAAGGTTTCTCACGTGACACGGGAATGCCATTAGGTAAATTAGTAATGATACAATTTGTTTATGAATGTTTTGCATGTTGTACATCAATTGTGTGTCAAGATGAACAAACTAATACTCCAATGCATATTAGAACTATGGATTGGGGACTTGATTTTTTGAAACAATTGACTATTGGTACGTATATATTATCTTCTTCAAAACATTTTAAAATCTTAGTTACTTCTCGAATAAGATTATTTTTTTGTTTGTCAATGCTTTTTTTGTGTGTGTAGATGTTGATTTTCAAAGGAATGGTCAAACAGTTTTTAAAGGCACAACATGGATTGGTTATGTGGGAATTTTAACAGGAATGAGAGTTCAAAATGGTTATTCTGTATCGGTTAATTTTCGACATACAGGTGGACAATTGACAACAAATCTTAAAACTGCTTTAGCCAGGTAAAATTACGAAAGATGCCTTTAAAAAATAAGACATTTGTTCTATCCCTTTATTATCAGATAACAAACAGACAGAGAATATTGTGTTCTACAAGAATATAAGTCTATCGATCAAAAATCAGTATTTCTTTATACGCAAAAAAAAGTACGAAATGAAAAGAGTTATACACGTGGGGTACAGTTCCTTCATCGTACAACTGAGTCTAATCATCAAATTTGAAGATTTCTATACATCGACATATCAGTAGAAACTTTATATTTATAGACAAAATGTTCGACAAGACTAACTCTATCATTCAGCATGAATTTTTAGATCAAGAAACTTGAATTTGTACAGAAAATTTTGATTGAAGTAGTTCAATACCATGTTTGATAAGGTAAGAATCTAGAAATTAACTCCTTGATTGACTAAATCATTTTTAATTTCAAGAGAAAACATACAGTGTGTGTTAAAACATAATAATTATTAGGTAGAATATATTTGTCATACGAAGTGTATCGAGTTGTACGTTTTTTACATTATGATACAAAATGCGTTCACAGATGCATCCGATTCGAAAAAAAAACGATTGCAATTAGACAAACTTAAGCAGACGTTCGACTTTCTGCCAATTTTTTGCAGCTTCGTGATAACTTTAGACAGAAACTGGATTTTGAAATATCATTTGCCTTTCATTGACAGAGAGTGAAATAAAAATAAACAGTCAATGTCGTTATGAGGTGAATAGGTTTGGAGGAGAAACGACCTGGTGGCAGGTTGTCTGTTATGAGAGAAGCCGGGCCACGATATGTTTCGTTCTTGCAGAAATAAAAATACTTGCTGCCGAATTTTCAGCCTCTTCTACCTGTAAAAAATATCGACAATTCTAAGTTATAGTCCTATTTTGTATAGTCCATTTCATTCCATTTTCCCACGATGTAGGAAAATATAGTGTTTATTGGTTAAGAGAATTATATCTTTGCAGAAGAAAAGATTCTCTGTTCTTTTGTTTAAGAATGATTTGTTCTAGAAACTTTCCAAAAATCTGAAAAAGACAGTAATTTTTCTAGTGGCTGGCCAATTGGTTTTCTTGTTCGTGAAATATTAGAATCAACACACAATTATGAATTAGCTGTTGAACAACTTGCACAATCTTCAATAATTGCACCATGTTATTTTACTATATGTGGAACAAGTCAAAGTAAGACTTTGGGAACTTTACTAACTCGCAAACAAACATTAGAAGAAAACAGGTAAATTAAAATCAAAATACATATTAATCATTAATTGGTTTTTGTTTTTTCGTTTTAAAGATGGACAGTTTCTGAACATGGTTCAATCATACAGACTAATATTGACCATTGGAGTTCAGAAAAACATGAAGATATTTTATTTTCGATTAAACGTCGAGATTTATCCAAACGATTCTTGAGTCAGATGAAAGGAGTCAATGAATATGAATTATGGAAGGTAATAAGACATTAAATCAATCTAGAGCATTGGATTTCTTCGACAGTTAGTTATTGTCTAAGTGCGCGACAAGTATCCATTACAGATAAGAAAAATTTTAATACGAAAAAAAAACTTCGAAACTATAAACAATTGACTTTTTTTTGTCCGTTGCTCATGTTACAAGTCTATTGTTGATTATTGATCCTATAGTAGCAATTGTTACATAAATCATATAAATAATTCGAACAAGAAAAACTTTTCTCATAGTTTCGTAGTAAATATTATTTATATTAGTATTAAGTTCATCTGCTATCAGAACGAAATAATTTCTTAAGGTACCTTACATAAACTATTGAAAAATATAAAACGAAAGTTTTATTCGTTCGGCTCTGTTCTGCTTTCAGATAATAAATATCTTTTCGAAAAATTCGTTTTATGTCTATTCGTGTGCTTAAAGAGATGATAGGACAGGTTTCGTGCAAATCAGATGTATTATTTCAATATTTTATTTAATTTTACTCATTTTCTCTTTCTTTTTGCTCTTTTTTTTTTATATTTCTATTTGTTAAAAGAAAAGATGACTATTATTTTAAAAAAAAACATTATATTAGATTTGTAGGGCCTGAACGGCTCTTCCTGACTTGCCCTATTAGTTACTCTTACTTTCTCTTTTCTATTTCTGATGATTTACGTTCTTTTCTAGCTTTTATCGGAATATCCAATATGCAATAATATAACCATATATGGGACATTTATGTGTCCAGAATATGGTATATATCATACACGATATCCTCAAGATAATCGAGGATTTCACTCACACGAAAACGTTCAATTTATCTCACTGACTGATTTGAAAGTAAGTCATTTAATATTTAAAAGAAAATGCTGCTAGACTGCATAAAATATAATACTTTTTCTTTATCTACTTTAAATATTAATAAAGAATGAGAACTACATTTTATTATATTACTCTTCATATTCATTTAGGATGATTTATATTGGCGATTATCATCAACTTATGTTTGTTGTAACTGTGGACGCGAATTTGATATTAATGACAATCCTGGTGGTAATTGTGTGCATACTGGAGCATGGCATGCAACATTTAATGATTGTTCCTATTTAAAATGTGGTTTTCACTTAGGTAAAAAAGCATCGATTGGTATACAACACTGGTCATGTTGTTATTCATTAAAATATCGATCAGATACTTGTACCCAAAGCAATTCTCACACATTTATCAAACAATAAGGAATAAAATTCTACAGTTCTTAATTATTTTAATTTTATTCTCATATTTAAATAAACTTGAAAATATTATCGGAACAATACCTTAGCGATTAGAATATATCCATCTTTCCTAATTAAGGATTGAATAGTTGATTTATGTATAAAATGTCTTTGCACAACAGATTGGGATGAGTATCAAATTCTGATTCTTTTCAATGACTCATAAGTAGACAAAAATTCATCAGACATGTTGTGTAAAGCACGTAGGTTATTAAGATATTTGTATCTCGGAAATGAACGAAGTTAATAAAACTTTTATTATTAAAATAATTATCTACTGCCATTGAATCATAAAATAAAAGAAGGCGCTAGTTCATTATCTGGCATTTTCTTCTAATTTATTTTTAACATGATGCAACTTTTTGGAGTCTAAAATGATCTATACAATGATGATAATGATGAAAAATATTCTTTTGAATTCAATGCCAGTAGTTTTAGATGACGATGATTTGTGATTGGCAAATAGAAGCCCAATCTATGTGTAAAAAATTTTATTCGTGCATTTTTTTTTGTATTATTTGAAATATTTTAAGCTATGACAAGGCAAACAAAATGAATTATATGAAATAGAAAGAGAAGAAATATGTTTAATTTTTTTTGTGTTATGAATGTCATAACTTCCTTTCAGAACGACTTAATCATACATTGGGTAATTTTTTCTCCCTGTCTTCTTACTTAACGGATGGGACAACGATTATGCATTAATCTTTTTTCTTTTTGACTGAGTGTTGCAATGTAATAGCGTAGAAACTTGATTCTTTTTTCTTAGAATGACCAAAACATTATGTACAAAAATATATCATAGAATTTGATCGCAAATGTTTCCTGAAAGTCACAGAAATCTTAGAACAAAATGTATTATGAAACTCGTTCACAATTTCATCCAATAAGAAAGATTTTCTTTTTTATTCTTCTTGTCCAAGTTTTATAAAGTAAGGATAGGAGGACTATGATTCTATCAAAAAATGAAATATTCTATAACTTTCAGAATAGTCGATATCAATTCTATTATAGCATCTTCTGTTAACATCGATTCTTCGTAACTAGTGATCACAGTTCAGAAACTAAATTCTACTTCGAAAGAGAAGTTGTTAGAATATATATATATATATATATATTACATGAAGAAGCTTATCGATTCTTTTACTAAACCATATTCTTTGAAATAACATACAGATTTACTGTGAGATATTCAGACAAAACCTTGTTTTCACATTACAAACCTCATTTTTAATTTTGAATTAAATTATTTATTGTTCAGTCTACTTGTATGTTAGATTAATTATTTTAATATTACATGAAAGTCGTCCTTGTAATGAGCAGTTATATATATATCGAAAGTTGATAATGAAAAAAGTCAATTAAATATATTTGGAAACAAATTTTGTGACCTTTAGAAAAAAAATTTCCGATCAAACTCTTTTAAACATTTTTACGTTAGGCATTTTACTCTTTCTAACACAAAAAAAGAATAAAGTATTGACGATATTGCATTTCAACCCTACGTCAAAAGCAAAATCAATACAGAAATTTTGTCGCACTTGTTACTAATTCCCACCCACTGCTATTTCCCAGCCACATTCGTCCTTTACTAGGTCAATATGCAATAAGATTCCATCGTTCTAATCGTAGCATAACTTTGAATTACAATATATAGAGCGATATATTGAATGTTTAGCGATCTAAAATATCAATAAACAGGTAGAGATCATTTTAATTGAAAATCCATATGAACAAATTCAAGAGAAATATGATTATCAATATAGATTTTAATGTTTGTCTTTTCTTTTTCGCTGTTTGCTCTATACAATGTAATGACTACTGCACTTTCATACTCTTTTTTTTAGATCGAACTCGACGGTATTGACGACTGTGCAAATATGGAACCATCGGAGAGTAATAAGACGGTCAATATGCAATCTACTATAACAAGTCTAAATGAATCGGATAATGATAATAAGCAAGTTTTTCAATCATCATCTTGTTCTACATCACAACAAGGTTCAACAAACTCTGATACTCTTTGTGTTGTATGTTCGACAAGAAATCGAGCATTGGCATTTGTACCTTGTGGACATTTTAGTGTATGCGTGCCGTGTGGTCATGGTTTGGTAGCATGTCCAATTTGTGGAACAAATATTAAAGCATTGTTCAAAGTTTACAGTTGAACAATATACCAAATATTTCAATCATTTGATAGTTGATGTTATCATAGAAATTTCTAATGATTTACTATTTGATTACATCTTTTAATCTAGAATATCTATAACTTTTTGATTAAATATAATAAAACATTGTCACATATTTTCATTGTACAATATGCGACTAAATTATTATCAATAAAATGTAAACAAGACGAATTTTTCCCATCGATTCATATATCAACTTGAACAGATATTGTTAGAAATCATTTGTTCTTGCGTCACTTTCGAATAAAAATCGAAATTTAAGAGTCCATATGTTTCATAAAATAATTCATAATAATAACAAACTAGAAATCCTCTTCTAAACAAAAATACTCGTTTCTCAAGGCTAAATATATCCTTCAAAATAAATACGTAGATGATTGAGAACACAAATGTACACCTGTATCTATAAAAATCAGAATAAAACCTCTATATTGATCCACAAGAAACCAAAGCATAACATTTACAATAATTTGCTTCCTTTACTCTTTGTGTATTTTGTTCGTTGTGTAAAACATGCATAATTTTTTATTCTGATTACATTGAATTTGATTATAGTTTGATTTCGAACATCATAATAACTCTCAAAATTCAAAAGATATATAAAACACATTACACTCATGACAGTGATGACTCGAGGCAGTCTGACAATTGGAGGAGAGTGACCTTGTTCTTTTAGGAAGGAGTGATTTTTTTCTTAAAGAACGCAAGAAAATTTTTTTTTTTCACTGGGAAAAAATGAAAAGTTTCCACGATTGTAAAGTGACGCATCTCCGACACTTCCGTCAGTCGAACTGCCACCGCACTTAGATTATGTGATTAAGACGTGACATACATCATGATGTATCAAACATGTATTTATTTTCTTTTTTAGTAAGTCTTTTCTTTACTTTAAGAATCGATTCTGAATGTTTATGCTTCATTTTGTCAATTTCAAATATTTGTTTAATTAGTTTTGTTTATACAGTGTGAAAGTGTGACGTCAAAGTCATATCTTTCTTTCAAATCACAAACGATTGAATCAATACATTACGATCGAACAAAATTTTGTATGTAATAGAAAATATTTATAAGATCAAAACTCAAATCAAATACAATAATAAGATGAATGAAAAGACAATATAAAACCAATATGTCTGCTTATTTCAATGTCAGACTAGCTAATATTCGAATATATAAGAAAATGAAAAAGAAACAAAACTACGCTTGTTTTTATTTGCAATGACCAATTAGATGTACGCACAAAATGAATACATCATATTAACAATGTGTACTACAGTTGCATTACAATCTGAAAGTAACAACAAAAAAACGATCCAATAACATTCATCATGTGAAAGAGACGAGATGAATTGTAATCTATCGAAAAATGATAAAGCAATCCCGACTGTTGTTATTAATATTTGTCTTGGTTTGGCGTATTTTTATGTTGAATACGATGAGTCTCAATTGTTTCACTATGTGCCATTGATATTTTCGCTTTTTGTGCGATCTTTTAGCTGAGACATACGCACCTATTGGACTTAGGGACATTATGTTTCGCACCCGAACTCGACCTAGACCTGAACCAAAGTTAATCGACATCTGACAAATACTTTCACAGTTTAGTTTCTTCCATAAATAGCAACAAATAAAATAGAGATCATCTCAAATTCCGCAAAAAGACAAGTAAATCAAGTGATTTGGGATTCATTTGGTGTCTTTCTATTTCTAAAACCCGGTAGATTTCGCTAAGTATACGTTTTCTTATTTCTAATAACGCTGTAATGAAACGTTGTTTAGGTGTCTAACGTCATAATTGTCAATACATAAGTGAATGCATTTTCCATTGCGATAATACATGTTCACCTTTTTAATAATTCATTTTCTCGGGTATGATCTCCAGTCAAGACCTATACTCCAGGGGGGCGACTCGGTTACAGGATACTGCCACGAATTCACCCGCTAATCAAAGTTCAAGAGTTAGATAAAGCGTTGTGTGTTGCTTCTACTATCGGCAACGGTTTATTTTCGGTATATTTTTTTGTGTTAATACCATTCTCATACTAATTAATGTAATTTATACACTACGGAATGCTTTGTATGGACGAAAGATACGATCATTATAAGCAATTACTATGATCTATTATTTATATTATTCGTATTTGAAATTCACATAGGTTTTTTTTTTTACTATAAAACTTTTCGAATAATTTCTATTATGTATGGCAGACATATATTTTGGTAAAAGGTTAAAAGCACCAGGGCAGGCCGAACAGTCCATTTCCAATACTGGTAGTTTTATGTTGCTTGAATAGGAACGATATTGAAATATTGTCCTCTACATAATTCACAACTCTCAATTGCTCGTATCATATTTAAAAAAAAACAGCCATGATCTTTATTTTAAGCAATCATGCGGCAAGTTTATCAAATAGGAATGTTTGGGATTGGAAAACAGCCAAGATGAACAATCAGATAAATATTCAATTATTTTGATGTATTTTTTTTTATCTATGAATACAAAAAAAAAATCAACGCTTTTTGAGTACGTCAATAGCAACTCCAATTAACTTTTACACATCTTTTTTATCCTTCTAGTGTTAGTCACTATTATATATAATAGTACAATCACTATCAATGGCTTATCGTTGTCATTTCGTCATCAGTGTGCGATTCATCCCGTTGAAAAAGATTAGTCTTCACTTCTTTATTTCGTTGTACGTCGTTTTTTTGATTCAAAATGTCGACGTAATGAGGAGAATACACAACATGTACATAGATGTGTGAGTGGATGTTTATAAGGGTGTGGGTGAAGATGAGCAACATATCGTTGTCCTTTTTACTTCGTTTCTTCTTTACCTGTCTCTTCTTCTTTTTTTCTTATTTGTCTTTATCTTTTTTGTTTTTTATGAGAGAAGATCATTCTTTTTGATATAATTTCGCATTGAACACGCACATAGAGATATTGACACATACCGATTAAATGATGACAAAAACGATGGTCAGTTAGTCAATAGAGAAGTTAATTGAGTAACACAAGAAAAAAAAAAGGAATGGAATGAGAACATAATATGGTTCGATTGCAGTTATTATTATTATTAATATTTATTATTATTTGTAATTTAACAAAAAAAACATCAATAGTAGTCAATGCTGGATGTAAGCAGATGAAATTTTCTGTAGTCTTTTCTTATAGTAAAAACAATAAATAAATAAATAAATCCTTGTTTTCTTAGTTTTTGAATATGAATTACCTAATCGAACAGTAACAATATGTCCAAGTTATTCATTAATATCACTTGAATGTCCTCAAATTCCATCATTATTAGATCATCGTTCATGGCAACCAAATCTTCCTACATATTTCATATCTATTGATTATATTCGTTCATTTCCATTACGACTTGGTTTTGATGCAAATTCATGTCAACCTGATATATCACATACTTGTAATAATTATGATTTACGTTATATAAACACATTATGTAATGGAAGACCTCAATGTTCTGATATATCAACTTATCAAATACGTGAACGTAGTTTATGTACGTTTAAAGCAGTTACAGAAATTGGATTTCATTGTGTACCAACATGGAATTTACATGAAATACAAATAAAATGTGATATATGTAAAAATGCTACATTAACAAATGATTATGGTTTTATTCATTCAAGAAATTATCCATCAAAAACTGTTCGTTTATATTGTTCTACAACAATATATGCAAAACCAAATCATAAAATAATACTTTATTTTGTTCATGGTGAATTAAATCATGATCAATTAAGAATTGAAAGTGTTACATCAAATGGTCTAATAATTTTAAATATAACTTTAAATGGAAATTTAACGACACAAAGATTAGCAGCATCAATATATGAAATGAAAATAACATTTATACCAAGTCATATTTATTCATATCATCCAACATATTATTTACTTTATTTTTATACAATACCTATTTGTTCAATTACTGATCCATGTCTACCTGGAACATCATTAATAACAAATACACCTATTACATCACCAATAACAACAAGTCGAATGAGAATACAATCGGTTGGATGGACACATGTACCAAGTAAATGACAAAAATTATTTTTGAGTTAAGTGAAATTTTATTTTTGATTCATAGATCTTTGGATAATTATACCAGTTATACTTGCTTATATATTTCTATTACTTCTTATAATTGCATTAGCACTTTTATTTCGGTAAGTAGAATAGAATTGATGATATTAAAATAATTTTTATTTTATAGACGACGTCGTAAAAAACAAAAAGTATTAGAAAATATTACAAATACAAATTTATCTTCTCATTATTTGGATGTAAATGGTACTTCAAGTCGTGTTCAACTTGTTCCATCATTATCTCCTCCAAATGGTAACAGTACTATTCATGATACATATCCATCTCCTCGTCGTACAAATACACCACAAAGTACTTATCGTTCATTATCAAGTTCTCCATTTCCTCAAAATAGGGAACGATGTTATCGTGAGACTCGAAGTGATTTTGATCTTTATCATAATAGTCTAGATGGAATAGATTATTGTTATCCTGTAACTACTCCTTATCGTGCTCGTCCTACAACATCAAATGATAATTATCGAGGTTATGGTACAATTGATCATTCTTCATTTAATTATGATATTAATCGTCATCATCGTTCATTACCAAAATCTTTTTCTGATTGTAATTTATGTAAACGACGTGTAGTTAATGAAGAATATCAACAGTATTTTAATGAACAAGATGATAATTGGCATTTCAAAAATACTTTAGAACAAAGAACAGAACCAAGAACTTCTCGAGATAAAATAAAAGAACGTTTTCGTGAACGTTCAACAAGTCGTCAAATTTCTGATAATGATCTTACACCATCACCATCGACAACTGTTGAATATTCAACTATATTACCACGTCATCAAAGAATTGCCAGTGAATCAAATCGTTCAAATGAACCTGTTCGTCATTTACCTTTTGAATATATTCCAAATGAAACTCCGACTAATATTCGTAAAATGGGATTTAAACAAAATTTAAGTCAAGATCATCTAGCAACTGGAAATAACCAACAACACGTAACAAATGATGATAGTGGTACGACTAATTTTACTATGAAATTTTATGAACGTGGTGATGTTGATGATGATGATGACAATACAAAAAATCATTTTGATAGATGTTTACATGAAGGAAGAGAAGTTCAACAAATGTCGATGAGAATGAATGGACAACAAAATTTAAATAGACATCCATATTATCATCAACAAAGACGTTTTACTGGAAGTACTAGCGATATTTAAAATATTTTCATTAGTTCTTTTTTTTTGTCTTTAATAAAAAATATATAAATTCGATCTCAGGGTCAAACTAAATGTCTTTCGGTTTTTTTTTTGCCTTACAAATCTAGTTAAAAGGCAAGAACCTTGAATTTAAATTCTTGATATAACATACGAAACGAATTGACACTTGTTATAGAAATAATCCTTGGCATATTCTTTTTGTTTGTTATCTTATTTAAAAATCAATGTTATTTATTCTATTCTTCATGGTGAATATGTTTTGTTAACCCTATAATCCAACAAGAATGAGATCTTACTGTAAGTGTAAGCCATTTGAATTCTTTAGGTACATTATAATTCACATTATTGAAAAATAGATTAAAACAATACAGAGCAAATCAACGAAAATTATTCAAAAATAAATTTCCTATTAAAAGATAAATATTACTCGACATAATTTTAAATATTTATATAGTAGTGAAGTTTTCATCTATACATATTATAATATTGTATTCACAATATTCGTTTTGTTGAAATTTAGTTAAAACTGAAACTTATATTTCATGTTGATAAATTCATAATAATATAATATGATTACACTTGTTCATGAGAATCTATTTGTTTTCTTTAATTGTTTAAAAACAATAGTTGTATCTGTTGTAGTAGCAAATTGTTATGTTTGTTAAACAAGAGTGAATGTTCTGCGTTCTTTGTCGTTAATCTATGCAAATATATAAATAAATGTCAACATTGACACAAGAGGATTGAAAAAAGTTTATGGTCAAACTTAATGTAAACTTACAGTTGTGAATAATTTTCTTTGTCAATAAAATGTCTGCCAAAATTTATTCATAAATTGAATATACGAATAAATCTATACTTTTCATTGAACTTATGAAACTTAAGAATTATTCATTTCAAAGTATATAAAACACTAAAATTAAAGTCGAAGAAATTTTGTTTTGTAAAACGAAAACAAGAATGCGAAGTTAAGAGGTTCAAAGATTTAGAAGAGAGTGGTTACTATTCTATTTTGTATTTATAACGATAGGTTTTATTGGAAAATAAACAAATTGATCTAGGATGTGAGGAAGAAAAACCATTTATTCAATATTCTTATATTTTATCAAATATAAATATGTTATGAAGTTTTCTTCTACAAAGCATAGATTAGGAATGAAGCGGCGACGATGGGCCACCACCACCAGTCTGCTTTCTATTAGTGCACTGACTATCAATGACAGCGATCTATGGTAGAATGGTGTACCGATCGAGATATTCAACGATAGACTAACAGTGAAGAACAAGTTTTGATATTTATCAAATCTCTCGACCGAAATTGGTCTGATTTATAGAAAGAAACTCTCTTATTATAGGTTTTTCACACGTCTATCGACTTTATCAATGTTCATCATAAGTTTCGTGTGTGTTTATCCGCTTTACTAAACTTAATGAGGATGATCTAAAGTGTATTCATACACATGTGGGTAATGTACTGCTACCTTTGCATCCCTACTGTTGACTAATATGAAATAGATGTTAAGTTGAGTATTGTTTTTTTCTCCTGTATAGATAGTGTGATATCATTAACAAATTTTCTGTAAATTAAGTAATTTTCATATTATCTTTCTTCTTATGTCATATTAAATTAATTTCTGTAGGTTGTATGGATCGTAAAAATAGTTGAAAAGGTCTGATAACAGTTGTAGAATTCTCAAGCTTTTCTTAATCCTGTTCACATGGCTCAACTGTTTTCATTCGTTTTATCCGTTCAACGATATGAGACCTGTGTCATGAAATCAAAGAATATTATCTAATCGTAATTTTCACGAGCAAACAGATCTGAACATTTTTCTTGACAGACATGAAAAGAAGAATAATACAAATGCACTTCGCATGATTCGGTTTGTTTTTGTATGATTTCACTTCTAGGATATTAGAAAATTTAATATTTGCAGCTGTATTATTTGTATATATAAACGAAAGTCAATTCGATTTAATATGTGTTTTTTATAATATCTATACAAAGATACTTTTGATGGTTTGTAATCGATGAATATTAATGACATCGATAAATGAAATTTCATATTAATACACCGGTCTATTTACAAGAGTTAATTTTACAACATTAGATATTTATTCATACTCTTTCAAGTTGAGTATTTTATGTATATAAAAATATATTAAATATTAATTTGTTTTTAGGTTCTAGAAATAAAAACCATATCAAGAGAAAAATCGAATGAAGAAAAAACCTAAAAGATCATTGAATATTCATATAGCATGGTCATATTTGAAAAAATATTTAGTATTGTTATTTCCATTCGTCATTATATATCACGAATTGAGTTATAAAGACAAGTCTGTTAGGAAAAAAGTATCCTCTCCTTGAGATATATTGTGTCTCATTGAATTGATTAAAGTTGTCAAAAGCACTGTTAATTTGCATGACTTTTAACAAAAAAAGTTACATTCACTTTTGAGATATTCTATGTCAGTAGACAAAGTTTCTGATTTCTATGATACACTATAACGTAATTTCAATTGAAATTATTGTTCTTAAATCAAATGCGTACATTGCATGAATAGACAGTTTTCATTCTAATGCCAATAAAGGCTTTCTAGTATATGGTTTTCTACATAATTCTACAATGATTATTCGGAAAAAAAAATATTTTGAAAAAAAAAAAGAATTCGACAATAGATAATCAATTAATAAATCCTATTTATTTTTCGAAAAGTTGCTTTATACAGTAATTGTTACAAACCAATGTTTCGATGAACTTGAATATTATTTCCAACGTCCATACTTGATTCATCTCATGAACGTTATTCCTTTCATGTTCTTTAATTTGTACAGTTTCTGAAAAATGTACGAACTCGAACGGCAGTCAATAATTCACATAAAATTTTTATCTTGAATGTACTCTGTGAAACGCAGAAACGACAAACTAAAAGCAGTAAAGCAAAATTACGTTTTATTTACCATCTTTTACTGTACATTAACAATTAGTATATAGTACGCACAAATGAAATTTTTCTTGTGTTTAGTAAAAGACATTTTCTTTTTACAAAAAAAAAAAACATAGACAACATGCAAATATTTGAATACATTGGTAAAATTCATAATTCAAGAAATAAAAATACTTTATATACTCGTCATATATAAATTACTTCTTTTGATAATTCAAATTACAAATCGATTTTCAAAACAACAACACAGATTTAAGTGTGTTTTTATGAATCTTTCTTGCTCGGACTATGTAATTTGATAACTTGTTGAAGATCATTTTCTGCTGCTATGCAATCTGGATGTCCTTGTGGAAAGATTTGTCTATAAATTTTTACCACATTGTCAAAACTATGGTAAGCATCATCGAAAGACCCCATACTTAATTGCATTGTACCCAAACTATGATATAGTTCAGCTAATATTGATGGATCCGGTGAATATGTACTTTCAAACATGACGAATGCTTTTTTACATAGATCAAGAGCAAGAGCAACATTACCACAATCTTGATAGATGTTTCCCAACATAGCAAGAGTTGCGGCTACACTTGTTTTATTCAGAGGCACAATACGTTCTCGTAAGGCCAAGGCTCGTTGAGTATTATCAATTGCTTCAGGATATTCCTGACGAGCCCAATGAGCATTAGCAATACCAATCAGATTCGTCGCAATAGCAGCATCATCAGATGATTGATTAGATTGACGCAATGCAAGTGCACGTGTGTGACAATTTAAAGCTAAATCAAACTGATGGCAATTATGATATACATTTCCAAGATCAGTTAAAGTATCACTAATATCTTCACCAGCCTATGTGAAAAAAAAAGTTTTGTTGATAATCGAAAATGTATTGTTTAGATATATAATTTACCTCTTCTTGCATTTTGAGTGCTTTTTTATGACATTGCAAAGCATAAGTATAATCTTCTTTTTTATCAGCACATAATTGACCCATAGCATTTAGTACACGAGCGGTAACAGGTCGAATACGTTGGTAAATAGATAAAGCTCGATCGATCTCTCCTTTTTCGACACATTTTTGTGCCTTTATTTCTTCAGCAGTTAAATTTGAATCTCTGAAAAACAAAACAAAATCAGATAAATGAGTTCAATTTCATGCAACGAAAAAAAATAAACTATTAGTACGATCTCTATGAGATTGAAATGTGAAACACGATATAGCTGTTATTTACACTCTCAAAGAGAGAATTGGCAAGGTATCCCTCACAACATGTGAGAAGAGTAAATCCAAATTTCTATCCTATACACTTCAACACTTCCTTTCAATCGAGTTTCACAAAACATTTTATTTGGCGAAAAATCATACTTTTTTTGACTTGATGTAGGACTTGATATTGGTCGTAGTGGAGGAAGAGTACCTGGTTTCGGATGCACTGGTGGTTTCATAAGTTCATCAAGAATTGATTGTATTGTTTCATTTTTATGTTTTTCTATATAATCCCAACCAATTTTTTTTCCCATTTCATTAGCTGTCTTCATTTTGATAACCGTCATTTGATCTCGATTAACATAAATAATATGAAATGCCGTACAAATATCAAATATCATTAATGGTGGAGAATTTTTCTGAACTAATTCGATACATGGAGTAGATGCATCACAATCAATTTTAAATAAAACTGGTAATAAATCAGTACGATATGCTGGATATGAGGCAAGTGTTAAGGCGTTTACTCTCGATTTAACACAAGGAAAAAATCCGCTTGTACATACAAGTTGACCAACATGAGCTTTAAATTTGTCGAGAAGTTCATTTGATAGTTTCATACCTCGATAGAATTTATCACTCGATTTACGTTGACGTTGTTGTTGGAAAAAACGAGAAGCATCGACAAATAGAGAACGGCAAACATTAAGTTCTTCTTTGTTGTGTGAGTCAAGTGTATGATGAAGAAAACGTGAAGGATATGGAGAATGAAAACACCAATTAATGACTTCAGTAGGTCGATAAGATTGATCAAATTCATCAATAATTCGAGTTATTATCATATTATCTCGATAATATTGTCGAGTTGCTTCAATAAAGATATTTTTGTTGGATGATGTTTTTCGATTTGTCAACTAAATGAAGAAAAAATGTTTTCTTTTTTTTATTAATATTGACAACGATAACAAATATTACTTGAATCAAAAGTTTTTCTTACTCACTTCTTCTTTCCATATTTGTGACCAAAGAAATACTTTCTCATGTTCAAATGCAAATGATTCAAGTTGTATTTGTTCAAAAATATCCAATATTTCTTTTAATCCACGAAATAATTCTTCTTGTTGAGAATATATGCCACAGAGTTTTGGGAAATCACCTTTAATACTATCAACATTTGAAGCAAGTATGAAAATAGCTTCAACAGATGCAAGATTATGAACTGTTCTAATCAATTCACTATCACTTGATGATGTAATAAAAAAGATTTTTTCTTTTGAAGATTTTATCGCATTAATACATGATAATGAATCACTAAAAGCTTGTACATGATGATTGATTACTCGAAGTGGTCCAACAAGACGGAGGCCTGATTGTTCTTGAGGATCAAACCAAATAAAGATGACACTTTCATGATTGTCTTGAGCGGTGTGAAAAGAATATGTATCAATAGGAATTGATTGTGCCATTAACATCATAGATGGATCAAGAGAAAGAAATTCCGGACCACCTTTGTTTTTATTATTGTCGTTTCTTAGTACAATGTTTGAGTCAGCCATATGAACTTATTTTTTCTTTTTCTCTATCTTATGAATTCAACTACTATCTAAAATATTCTTTTTTAATAAAATTTCGAAAAAACAACAAAAGTTCAGATGATGTGATGTAGAATATAAATTCATTTCTCGATGAAAAAATATGGATACATGTTTGTTTTATTTAAAGAACTGATTAATATCAAAGATAAATTGTTTTGCTCATTCAGGATTCTATGTAAAACAATACCTGACATATTATAAAAGCTTAATGATTTTAAATTGCGCAGATGAATGTTAATACATCAAACTCTATTATTCCTTTATGGCCAATCATTGTCAATATTTTTCTTTAATCGTTGCACAAACAAATGCACTTCAGTACTTTTGCGAATGCATAAAAATATAAAGAATAATAAACAAAAAATACAATGAAGAAGGCAACATCAGTATTGTTGAGTATGCGAACAATTTGAGAAGAAAAAAAAACCTGTCAGATGAATTATGAAATTTTCATTATGTAACAACTTTGTTGACATTGCACAATTGTTATTTTTATTTTATATAAATCAATGACAAGGACAACATGGAAAAGTGTTTATCTGAGGGGGAAAGAATCAATAAATAGAAGTTCATTCCTTTTTTTTCTGTGGATTTTTGTTATGAAAAAAAAAGTTGTACAGGTATTCAGATTGTTCTCATTGCTCGAAAGAAAAAACGACATTAAATGTTTGAATTACTATTATGATTATTTCATTTCTATTGAAAATGAAATCACTAATTTTGAGTCTTAATGTTACTTGATTAACGGCAAACGCATGTTTGATAACTGTTGATACATCAACGATAATACAGATATAAAACTATAGCTGGAATACTAGATATTACGGCAGGGACAAGTTATGTTCTCACATATTTTGGGTATTTGAGACATCTGTTTTCTAGATACTTAGTCTATTTCATACAGATCTCAAAATTCAAGAAGAGAAAAGAAATAAATTATTCTAAAGCAATCAGAAAATCAGTCAAGCATTTGATTTCGAGATAAAATTATTAAATTCTATTCATTTTCTAGTCTATGATATGATAATCATATTTTTCACCATCTATAGTGACATTTTTCCGTCTCACTAGTTTTTACGTGTATGTATGAAACTAATTAAAAGTGATATAGATACTACAACGATATAAAATAGTATAAGAAAACTCTCTTCTCCGTATGTATCTTCTTTTTGAGTACAGGTCTTTAATGATAAAATATCATTTTTAAAAAGAAAACAATGCAATAATGCTAGCCATTTATTCTTATGAATGTCAAAAAATCGATAGAAAATGATTTTTTTTTTATAAAAGGATATGACGGTCCATTGCTCACATCTGGTTCACTCTGTTCGACGGCATTTACACCAATCTTTAATAATTATGCTAGGCTTTTCGTAGAATGATAAAATTTTTGTTGGCTCAATCTGAATTTTTTCTGATGATTACTAGAAAATATTGCTTACACTGAACATTAATCTATATATTCTATAAAAAAAATACATAATTGAACTGATTGGTGTTGTTTGATATGCTATAGAAGCTAGATTATCCAAATAAAATGCACGGTCTAATATTCGAATGCAAGTCATATACTATAATTTAATCTTAAGAAACAATATTTTAAGATATGTTCTCGAGCAAATTCTTTTACTAAGATATATATATATGAAAACGTATGTCATTCAATGAAGAAAGTAATGACACTGAAAAATTACTCTCAAAAAAACAGGACAAATAACTTCAGAAATACATTTTTACTTATCATCCAAATGATGCTACATGTTCATCCGTGGCTGAAATCATTTCTAGATTTGTTTTAACATAATTTAAATATTCAGATATAATAACAAGATCAAGCTACAATCGGTCGCACAGTAGCAACGAATAAAGTAAGCCGATAATTTATGAACAGTAGACAAAAGCTTGGAGAAGAAAGTATGAACTGCTAGTCAAATTTAACTCTGATTACCCAATATACAAATAATAAACAACTAAAACATTATCTACAGGTTGAACGAGAATTGAAACAAATGTTGTTATTGTTTTTACTATGGAATATCTCTGTAGTGTCATCAGTTGGTGATAATTCATAAACATTTGAACTGAAATCAATCAATAAAATTCTAATTTGGTAACCCAAATACAATAGACTGACAAGCATATATCGATTAAACATATTAATATTTAAGTTTGCATCTCTTCTCGTCGAAATGTTTCAAAAATACAATTGAACGAGCCAAGTTTATGAAAAGATACCATTGCCACAGCATTTTTCAAAATGTACATGTATCTCATTGGAAAGCATCAGATATCGATGCAGTAATTTCTTTTTCATAATCTTCTACAACTACTAAACTTATTTGAAATAACCTTTGAAAGATGTATTAATAAATAAAGAAATCAAATAAATTGAAGACATGGTATTTGTTCGTGGAGACATAAGCAAAATTTCTCTTTCTAAAAAATTATTATTGAGTTTTCTCAGTGTGAACAATAGCAATATATTTTATACGATGAGTATTATTCACTGGAAGTTCATATTTGACAAAAAAAACAACTAACAAAAAGTTAACAAAGAAAATATACAACTCTTCAAATGAAAGTCCATTGAAAGTAATTCAATACTATTTCTAAGAAAATCCTGTCGACAGTTAGAGATGATACTTTTCATATTGTACATCTCGACGTAATCTGCTTTTTTCTTATCAAGAGTTGTCTAATATGTGAGGACCTTGAAATTTTGACCTCATTTAATCTTTGTGTTAATTTAACATTTTTACTTATAGCACTCTCTATAGTAGGAAATACGTTTATTCGTTCATGATGTGTGAAATGAAATCTTCCTTCTCACTGTATCATTATTAATTATATTGTTATGTACTAAAACATTGCATGTTTCCTAAAAAATCACTTTTTGTTAAGAAAAAAAAAACAAAGATGGCTTATTTGCTGTTGGTATTTTATATTTTTACTTCAAGGATACTAGTCAAATAAAAAAAGATAAAAAATTTGTAAAACACGTTCGGTATTTTATGTCAGTGTAGACTATAGTTAGAGATTATTTTTTTTAACTTTTAGCTCAAACACATACGTCTGTTCTCAAATAAAATATCTACTTGTGAACGTCATGCACTTTCCGCGTTCATTAATCAGAGAGTCTATATTTATCATCATTTATTCTGTTATTTTTCTAGCATAGCTTTCCATAATACTAAGTAACATATTTATTGTCATTATAAGATATACACGATGAAATTGGTATTCTTCTTTGCTTTGGGCTTATTAGTAAGTAAAAAATTTATTTCTCTATGAATAAAAATTATTGCAAATTTACTAGATATTCTATATTCATGTGACATCAAGCGTTACAAGTAAGTCATCCACAATAAACAAGCCCACAAGCAAATCAACAAAAACTACTGGTAGTAATAGTGCAAAAACAAAAGATAAAAGTAAAGAATTTAAGAAGAACATTGGTGATGATACAAAAACAAAGGACAAAAGCAAAGTACATAGGAAAGATACCAGTGGTCGAACTACAACAACAACAACAAAAGCAAAGAAAACTTCAAATAGTTAGTATTACATTGATTTTTTTTCTTTTAGGTACTTAAAATTTAATTTCTACTTTTAATTAGTAAAAACTCCGTTCGATAAAGTTCTTGAAAAATTATCAAATTGTGCATCTTCATCACCTTCACTTGTTGATGTAATGCAAGAAAATCTTGAAGAACTTCAATTAGATGAAAAATATACACCACTTTTTAATGCTGCACCACATACAGCTGCTTTTTTAAATAAGAGAACACATGATTCAACTAAATTTATTGGTGGATTACGTCAAGCTCTTAATGCTGATTGGTCAAATCCAACTTGGAAATCATGGAATGAAATTGATACGCTCTTTCAACCATTCAAACAACAATTTGTATATGCTATGATGAGATTTAATTGTACTTGAACTTCTTTTTTGGATTGAAGATTCTGATAAAGGAATAAAGAGACTCAATACTATATATCATTTTGTTACGTCATTCATGTTTTTTTATTGTTTTGCTTAGTTCAGTAAACTTGATAGACAGAGAGAGATAGAGATAACTAATAAATTGATCCTCGTCGTGATTGAATTAACCATCTCCTATGAACATAGATTAGAAGAACAAGTTTATTCGACCTTTTTAAAATACTTAACAATATGATTTAGAGAAAAATTGCTGTATACGATTACATCGGTCAATTTGACTATTCATATTTGAGCATATGAAAAATCATTTCATGTTTCTTATGGCAATTTCTATAATTCAATACTTAACCGTGTTTAAAATAATTTGCTTAGAACTTATTAAATCCGAACAAGAAACTTTTTTTTTACTAACGAAAAAAAATATGTGAAAATGAATCTAAAGTTATAAGATCAGCTTTCAAAGTGTCATCGTTTCTGATCGAATAAAATATTATTTCCAATAATGCTAGAAAAAATTGTAGTCATTCATTTAGTTATCGATTTACTGCAAGTCAGTTTCGTCACTCGACTATTGCAGATGCTTTTCACGATAGAAACACATTCGTTTTTGCTTACATATGTATAAGGCATAAAAGAAAAACCACAGCAACATAACCATATTCTCAAGCTATAAAAATATAGAATTTCAGTAAATATAGGTAACTCGATGCACCTCATAAGAAGTTGCATATGTTAAAGACTCGTAGGTAGTGACTTGCTGTGAATCACTGTAACTTGGAAAGTATTTAGAAATATCTATTGAAAAGTTTCAATCGATTTTGTTTGATAGAAACAAAATAAATGTATGAAATGTCTTTGGCATAGATAGTATCTGTAATAACAGAACAACATAATTGACTCGCAATGACTAGCTAACTGAATGAAAAGTCAATATTTTTTTTCGACCCTAGTATTTTTTTTTTTGTCGATTCTTTTTGTTTTTTAAGAGATTATATACTATACAACAATGAAAATTATGTAAAATGCTAAGATTTTTCTCAACTTTGATGAGAATTATTCTGCTAATAAAACAACAAATCTAGATGTTAACCGACAAAAAAAAAAGAACAAGACCTAAAAGATTTCTCGTCGTGACTAAAAAACAAAATATTTTATTTAGTTAATTATTATTTTTTCTTTAAAATACAATTAGCATATTTTTCAATACGTTCATTCATGTTGTCAATATCAATTTTAAATGATGTTGATAATATTTTTGCTAATTCATCAGCAGGATCAATTTTATTTTTGAATATTATAATATCATTTATATATGATCCATAAAGATCTTGTTGTCGTTTAGATACTTTACTCATAATCATTGTCAAAGGATCATTCGTTTTCTTTGATTTTTCTGATTGAATTTCTTCAAAATCAATTCCACATATACCTTGATTATGATCTCGTCGTACAAGTATATTCCATGTTCCTGAATCTCCAATATTAAGTATATAACGTAAATAAAAATGTTGTAAACATGCTTGACAAAGATATTTTTTATCATTTTGAAAATTAGATTTATCATTTTCTAATTCAATTAGACGATTAATATGGGAACCACGTCGAAGTACTTTAATATTAGTTTCTATTTTTGTTGTTACTACTTCATGATCGCTTTCTAATGTAGATAATTTTCCTAAAGATTTTTGTTTTAAATAATATTCATTGATGTCATCAATTTTAATTACTGAATGCCAATCTATAATAGATCGCAGATGATCTGGTATTTTTAAATATTGTTCAAGTGTAAGTAAAGCACGAGTAAAATATAAATTATATAATAATTTTTTTCTATCACCCTGTGAACTTGCTAAATAAGGACCTTTATAAACATAATCTGTTGAAATGAATACGGCTTTTTTATGAGTACTTGTTCGACGTTGACCATGAGCAAGTTTTGATAATTCATCAGAAACAAATGATATTGGTTTTATATCAAGATGATAATCTAAACGAATTATTTCATTATCAATTTCAACATTTATTATTTGATCATGTGTATTTAACTATAAATAGAAAAAAAGATATTACGATTTAGTTTAGAATAAACTAGTTTCTTTTCTTACTTTAATTTTTTTCGTTGTCTCATTTTCTTCTTGTGATTCTTTTATTTTTCTTTTTGTTTTTGTTGTTGATTTTTTATCTTCTTCATTATCCATCATAATTTTAAATTCATTATACATTTGTCGATATTTATCTATAAATAATTCTTTACATTCATTAACTACTTGAGCACCTTCAAGAGCAAAATCACTTCTTGATGTTGATGCACCTGTATGTCGATCGAATACAAATGAATCTAATTCTATTTTTGTTTCTTTATTTAAATGATCTTTATACAATTGATCAACATTAATATTTAATACATCATTTGTTTGTTGATCAATTTTTCGTATAGTATCTTCATAAATAACAAAAGTCATAGCATGATATAAATATAGATAATGTTCTTTATGTTTTAATGTTTTGTAAAAGAAAGCAAGTGCTCGAGTACTATCTGGAAAAGGTGATGTACGGATAAGATATGGCCAAAGTTGTTGATTAATTAATATTTTATCATTTCTTTTAAATAAAACTGATAAATAAGCAAATGCAAGTTCAGATTTAGTCGAAAGATGTTCAATAATAAGTTTATAAAGTTCTTCTTTCTTCAAGAAATAATTAAAATGAAGAAGAAAGTGACGAAAAAAAAACTAACCTTTTTTCCTCGACATTCATCTTCATACATAATTTTAATTAATTGTTTCATTTCAAATTTTTCTAGTAATTGACGATGTAATTTATCAGTATTCATTGGACATTCAGGTAAATTATAAACTGTTTTAAGATCACTTAATAATCGAATTCGTTTTATATTTTCATTAGCTAAACAATGATACATTTCAATAAGTATTTTTCGACTTGATATCTCTCGACGAGATTTAATCCATTGCATATAAAAATTATGCATTTTACTTGGTAAATGACTATTACATGGACCTACATCTTCACTCATTATAACTATAAGACGATTAATCATATTTGAACGAATACGAATTGAATTTTGTTGAATTTGTTTTCGTGTTAATTTATCATTCGGATAAAGATCAGGTTTTATTTCAAGATAAGAAAAAAGATCTAGTTCAATTAGACACCATATACCCTTTGGAAAAAACATTGCTCGACGAGCATACTTTTGTATGGCACTTTTTAATGTTCGAGTGTCAGCATTGTGAAAACTTCGTTCACGATGAAGAATAATACACATCGAACCAATTTCTTCGGTTTTTTCTTCTACTTCTTTCGACATGATGCACAAGACGAATGACAGTAAAACATATGAATCAAATAGATTATATACTATTATTTGTTGTTGTGAAATTACTATTTCGCAATTACTTACAGAATGGAAAAGGTAGGTTTCTTTTTCTTTTTTACAAAACATATGAGTGCATGCACGATTAGATAAAAGAATGAGAGTTGTTATCGTATGTTAGTGGCAGCAATAAAATCGTTCCAACGGTACCACTGCCGTATGTTTAACGTTGTTGTTGAAAAGAAATGAAAAAGCATATGGCTTTCTTCTGAAAACAGTCTTACATTCTTCACATGTAAAGGTGATAGCTATATATAACAAAATGGAAATTACACAATAATGACTCAATACCGTATTACACCATGTGCTCTATGATTAAAAAGTCATGAAGAAACTAATAAAATGGTGCTGCCGCCGAAGCAGTACTGGTTATACGATCTCTTGAACATACGACTGAATTTCGTCAGTTCGACTAAGAGACTGTTCTTTGTATCTGACTTATAATCTGAAGAATGCGAGTTTGAATCCAAAACTTGTTTGAATATTTCATGAACATCGACCACCAACGATTGAGTATTGTATGGCGAGAACACCTTCCAATGATATGCGGACTACTTGTCCACTGGCGATCAACTTTATTTTTCTGTATCCATTGAAGATTTATTGTTGAGATATTCATAAAAAAAGAATGTGAATTATTTCTAGATTCATGCTGAGGGTAAAGGTATAATGCATGAACGAGTAAAGTTATTATGACTAGTTTTGATGTTGCTCAGCACATCTCAATAGATGTTTTAGATAATTGGTCCTTCCATTTTGGCTTGCTGATCAATGAATTGTTTATCTGGAATGTGAGTCATTTGTAATCTTTTTGCCGATGCTACTTCACACTGAGAACGGAAAACTTTGAAAACAAAGGAATCCATATGTCAAACGGTAAAATTTGCCACTCTCCTGAGGTAGTATTTTTATATTATAGTTTTGTAGCTTACACATTTTGACACATTTATGAATATCATTTTCGTTAAACAGACTTTTACTTAGAAAGATAAGTAAATACCGGGTGCGCCAGGATAAATGGCCGCGTTTTGCATTTCAATTTTCATTCACTTAATATGCTGTATTAAAAAAACAAAATACACCACAAGATGCAACGTGAGAAGCTCTACAATTTACACTAGACCGCTTCTCTTATAGTTGCACATTTTACTTTGGAAATGGTCAAAATTTTGAGCAATCAAAATTTAGCCGTGCGAAAACGACATTTTTTTTTGGCACAAGATAATTTCGTTATTTCTTATTTCATCTTTTTATCACATGATATCTTTCATTTAAAAAAAACAAAATACACCACCAGATGCAGCGTGAAAAGCTCTACAATTTACATAATATCGCATTTCTAATAGTTGCACTTTTTACTTTCAAAATGGCCAAAATTTTGAGCGACCAAATTTCGATGACGCGAAAAAGTCGTTTTTCAATACACGATCAATGCTTTTTTTATTCTTATTTATTACCTAAAATCTTCGATTTGAGAAAAACAAAATGCATCACGTCATGGAGCGTGAAAAGCTACACAATCTATAAAGAATAGTTGAGTGCCGAATATGACAAATGATAAAAGAGAATTTTAATTCAGGAAAGTTTTCGGGAGTTTTATGAGTAGCCTTTGGAATCCTTTGGACAAGTAATGATGTCTCTAGTAGTCAGTACATTTTTTTCTTCCATTTAGATCATCGTAACCAAATGCTTTTATAAAGGTAATATAGATCTTGTGCAGCTTGAAGATATACTCTTGATATTCTCCGTAATTTAGCAATGTTGATGCGAATATGAGTGCGACTAATGAGAAAATTCTAAACACCTGATGGCATATGGGAGCTCAGGATGCCAATTTAAAACATATTCTTTATTTAAATTAAATGGAGGTAATTTATATCTGAAGATAGTCGAATATTAGTCGAAAGAGTATAGAGCTAGCAATCATATACCTTGATTTGAGCCAAAGTACTTAACTAGATATTTAATTCGAAGTAGAAAATGACATCAATAAAGCTGCAGATTGAATGATATATTTCGTAAAAATATGAAGCTGACATAATCATAGAAACTTTAACTTCATAATAATCCAAAAATACTTTATTAGGCATAAGAAAATCCGACTTGGGGGGGGGGGGGAAGAGGAGGTATTTGACATTTATCGATAGATAAAGCATCAAATGTTTAGGATATTGTAGTAAATTGTGATGGAAAAAACATTCTGCTTAATCCGAACGTATTGGCAACAAATCTAGTTTTGCTTTTAATAATCGATGTAGTAGAGACCCAAGCAGTCCAGTTTTTACAGACTTTGACTGCTCTAGAGAGCGTATGAACATCTTCCGGTTGCCTGTGCGTGCTGCTTATTTTCATCGATCTGGCTTGGCTATGTGTTAAGATATTTCCACTGTATTTTTCATGTGAATATTAGGAGAAGACTTCAATAGAAGTAGAGAACAGAAATAGGATCAGTTCAGACTTTTCAAAACTTAAACCTAACTGGATCAAATTTTTTTAAAAAAGAACTGAACCGAACTGGTCTCATCTCTGGTAGAAAGCTATCTTTATCAGAGAAAGAAGTTGCTGATATCAAAATATCATGATTAATCAGAAAATCTAATGATTTACTCTACTATGTGGCTGCTGACTAGAGCCAACCAATGTTAACACATGAGAGAAACTCTATTTTTTGGACAATAATCTATGGAATTCATTTAATCAACGTTCTCAAGAGGATCTATCAAGTACTGGATTCAGCTATATTACAACTGTATAAATATAAATCAGTAACATAAAACTTCTTAAATGCTTTGTATAAAAACCTTTAATCATAATGAAAGTAAATCTGCGAAGAGTAACGTCCCAAAGTGAAAAAATTTAATACATAAAATAGGCTAGATGCAATACAGCGACGATCCATCAACAGTCAAGATTGTATGTGAAGGCTTTTAATTAAAAAATCCATTTCTCATCTTCCCTGGCAAATATTTTCTAAATTAAAGTGTGATGCATTCCGTTTCTGGTAAAAAATGGGCTTTTTGAGTAAAAACTTCATGAAAATATGGCAGTTGAGGAGGTGCAGTGACCTATCATGGTCTCTGATTTGAGGTGAAAATTTGCTTTTTTAGAGTTTCCAGACAGTGCTTCAGATTTTACTGACTATATTTAGCACTTTAAAAAGATGCAATATTTCTGGTCAGTGCATCTAGCCTCATCAGACTACATAGATTTCTAATAGAACAACCATAAAAAACTTACTCGCCTTAAACAGAGCCCTTGTGTTAAAAAACTCACTTGTGATAAATGATAAAGACTATCAAAAGCAATAAAAGGTTAATGATAACTCTCCTTCTCCTAAGATTAGGCGAAGTTTTTCAGGGTGCTAGATCTCTCATATGATGTAGCTCCTTTGTATTTCAAATGTATACCAACAGAAAAGCCGTTTCTTAATTGGAAAATCTATAGACAGTGGATGTTGCGATGGATAAACGATATTTCGTTTGAGTTACAAATAAAACACTATAAAACGCAACGTTTTCTTAATCAAAACTAGCAGCTGATTTTTGATTTCAAATCAAAAAAATCTGATTTTAGCTGTTTCCCCCTTGTGTTTGGCCCATGTCATCCGAAGATAATATGTGAGAATTTGGAGGCACATTTCATCTTTGGTAATCTCGTCACTCTACAAACGAAAACGAAATTCTCAACATTATTCTATGACAAGAACTTGAAAAAGTGATTCAAGAACAAGATTGCTTATACTGAATATCGTTTGACTTGTTCTCCTAAAAGATTTTCTTATGGATAATTGAAATCAAATTTTTCTGCATTCAATAAATGTTCGACAGCTGATTTATTTCGAATCAATTTTGTTAATATACTTTGACTTACATTATTGAAAAAAGAGTAATCTTAGTTAATATATTTGAGTTTAACTGTCTTACAAGTGAGTGTGTAAGAAAGATAATACAACTATGATATCAGATTCGAGAATATTCTCAACGAGACGACATTTCGTATGCTGATGAGAACTCAGAACATATTTGAGTAGCTAAGTCAGGACAAAATGAATTAACAATGCATTCATTAACTCTTGGTAGAATGGCAAGTGCGGAAGACATTGAATCTATATCAACGGTAAAACAATCAAGATTGTATTGACGAATTTCCTTGCCAACATAAAATGTGAAGCCTTTACTGTCACATCGAGACTGTTCGTGAAAAGAGAAGAATGCACATGAAAACTAACTGAATTTGATCGTAGCAGACATTGTTCATTACATGTCGTATACATACATCCGTTAATTACATTTTATATTATTCAAGTACAAACAACCCTGAACTTTAGAAAAAGCAGAAAAAAAAATTTTGAAACAAAGATTAGAAATACATATATAGAAACAAAAAGTATAAACATAATAGTAAAACTAAAACAATCAACTATGAGAGAAAAGTCTTCTAATATGTCGAAGGTTTTACTTGAAGCTTTAAATGCAATCTTACTCAATACTTTTACAATCATATATTGTCTGCTTATTTCATCATCACCAGCTGCCTACATAGTGACGATATTTGTCGTGAGAATTAAATGTGTGTATTATCCAAATTTGTATTCAATATATTTCATAACTGATAGTTGGATTCATGAATAGACTTTTTACAGCTAGATCATCGTGTTAAATCTTCGATTGTATTCATCAGACTTATTGTTCTAATGGATTTTTCAAACGACATAATTGTCATTGGATTTTGACTAAATCATTTCTAGTTACAAAAATGAATCGATAATAGAGCTCTTCATTTTAGCAGCTAACTTCGATGTATCTTATTGATTTGCATTAGAGAAAATAGAAGGAAACTTTTGTCAATGCTTCTTGCAACTTTCTTTAGAAATTACTCATCAAAACTTTCAGTAGGACACTGAAAATAGGATAAAATTAAATATTGTCAGTCTTTAATGGATAAAACAGAAAATATTTTGTTTTGTCTAAATTATTCATCTTCTTGAAGGTGAAGATAAATTTGTTTTTGTTATAGAAATATAAATAAATCTAACACGATGTATTTCGATTTCGCTTGAAAATGTTATCAAGTATTTTGCCATCATACGATTGATATCCGAATATCGTTGAATGTTTATGAAATCAACTACGATAATTCATGTCAGGTATAGATGAACGTAGCAATGTATTGCTAGATATAGAACTGAAATGGTTCAGTTGGAATCATAATTGACGTAATTCTTTTGTCATTTTCAGAGATTATAAATAAAATCTCATCATATTTGCAAAAAATAATGCGAAAAAAATAGAATACACTTATTTTATGAAAATGAAACTAAAATCTAACTCAATATAAAGTATCTTTCAATGTGTTAGTGCAATATGAGAAGTTTTAACAGAAGAATTTGATTTATTGAATAGAGAAAGTACTAGTACAAATAGTTGATCTTTTTATTAATTTTTACAATGAATGTTTTGTTACACACTATTAGAATAGATTTGTAAGTAAGTCAGAATGTCAATGAACATTATTTATCGATAATCAGGGTTGTTTGTTGCCATACTTTTGGTAAGTGTTTTAAGTCGATAAGTAGGTCCGGTTGGCGCGATTGCCACACGACGTTGCCAGCCACATATTTGTTTTCGACATTCTTTGGTTGTTGCTATATAGGCAAAAGGTATGATAATATAGATAAGGTAGGGAGTATAGAAAAGCCAAATAAGTGAAATGTCGAGAAGAAAATCAGCAGGACCAAAGAGACGAACAATTGAGAAAATAGCTAGAGGAAGTTGTGTGATAAAATAGACGATAATAATAGCAAGCAATTGAATAAGTAATTTTCTATTTTTACGCCATGTGAATGATCTTCCCTCAAAGCCAGGTCGTCGTCGACATTTTTGAAAGATAACTCTTCCAAGAAGAAGTATATTGAATGCAACAATCACTAATGTTGGCAAGAGTACGATAAGAATCCAGTCAACGGTAAGTATGACTGTGCTACTTGCAAAACAAGGTCCACCACATAAGAATTGAGTACCATCAAACCAATTTTCTCTACATGAATGAGTAAACGTTACAGTAATATACCAACCAACAACAAAAGCACATAGACCTAAGATTGGAACATCATGTCTAAGAAATGTATCTCGAAGACGATGGAAAAAAATGAGAAGATATCGATCAATTGATGCCCATGCCATTAACCAACTTGAAATACCTTGTAATGTATAGTTTCCTGTGACCCAATAAAGGCAAATCGATAAACTGCGAACATGACCTGTATAAAAGTAGGAGAGTGAAATAGGGATAAGATCACTCATAAGATTGAGAAAATCTATCAAAATGATGGCAATCATAACGTGATTGGCACGACGACGGAGCTGACGTTCATGAATAACACATATGAATATGTAGAGTGAGCACAAAAGTGATGGTCCTAATGGAACTGAGAATATAATTAGTTTGATGGTACGTGTAAGAGGTGTTTCAAGACTAGCTATCGATGATGATGTATCATTCGACATACTTATTCTTTTTAAATGATATACTTTAATACAAATGAGATTAAAACTTCATGAAAAATTAATTACTTGTTAAAATATTGATAAGACTCATCTTCACAATAATCTGCTTTTGACATGGCATATATCTTTTTGCGTCGTTCCTTTTCTCATAATTGCAAAATGAAGACATAGAGGGCAACCAGTCCACACAATACAGTGATATTTTTCCACTTCCAAAGAGAACGAAGAGATAGAAAGGGGAAAATTTTGACATTCTCTCACGTAATTTTCAATAAAGTTTTTGAATGGAATTCTATTCTATCTATCTATCAAATTTTCTTCATCAAAAAAATCTAGTAAAACAGAAAGAGATACAGATGAAGATATATTTTCCGTTACATGCCATTACTCTATTGAGGCTTATTCTAAAAAGGAATCTAATTTTTGTAAAATGGATGGGATTAAAGAGCAGATATGTTTAAGAGGATTTTGTATCGATGTAATTCATTTTAATAAAGATTTAGTAGTTTTTTGTTTCTCTAAATCTCTAAGTCAATAAGTATTTAAATATTACTTGGCTACTTAATTATTGTCATTAGTTTTTTTTTTGAGCAAGGATGGAGAAGATTGGATATATGTGCACGAATAAGAAAAGAGAATATCATAGAATTATTCTTTTATTTGAATTGAAAACTGCTGGAAACTAAATATTGAATGTTGAAATCGAGTCAGAAGAAGATAAGTTCAGATATCTTTGAGAATCATGTTTTGGTTAGAATTGAATACTATAAAATTAGAATATAAAAAGAAAAGAAAAATAAATAAATATTGTATCCACCATATATGATGTTATGTTATCTTTCAATAGCAATGATTAATTTTAAAATGATTAGTCAGTTTCTTGTAGAAAATGTATATTTCTGCTAATCAATGTACAGAAACCAATAAATCGATAATCGATAGATATTCAAGTATCAAGTATTAAATTTTATTAGGAAGAGATTCGACTGCAACATAACGAAAAAATCTAAAATGTAGCTCATGGTACGGATGTGGATGTGGATGTGGATGTGAAGTGGTTGTGGGTAGATGTGGTGAGTGTTCGTGGATTTGAATTTGGTCTTCTTTCCATATATACGCCCGGAAAAATATAGTTACAGTCGGCTTTTCGAAGACATAGTCACTAAAAAAACATACTCTTTTAATAATAATTACATATTCTGAAAGCCCATGGAGCTTTCTATCACCCTGTATATTTACATTTTAGTTTGTACCAATATATCAGCAAAAAAAAGTTGGGTACAATGAAGGTACCCTTATGTCCAGATTCCCACAGACTCGATTTTTTTTGTCACCAAAATTAGTTTTTTAAATTTTTCATTACTATAGAATTCTGCTTTTTTTAAACCAATTATAGATTCTGATAGAACTTGAAATTCTCTATCATCCTATACATTTCTTTATTTTCTTACATTCATATATAGCGCTCTAATTTAAAAATAATAAATGCAACCGTACTCCATGAGTTGCCTAATTCAAATTCGAATATAAATGGAGACGTTACTGCTTATGGTCACTTTGAAAATAAATGAAAAAAACGCCTTTCCTGTTGAAATAGCAAAAAAAGCAAAAGAAATAATTTTATATAAATTATACATTTATAAACGAAAAAAGGCACACTCATGTTGAAATAGCAAAAAAGCAAAAGAAATAATTTTATATAAATTATAGATTTATATATGGAAAGACACACCCATGTTAAAATAGCTAAAAAGCAAAAGAAATAAGGAGTGTGGGTGCGAGTATTCATTTTCTGTATACTCAGACTCGCACCCCTTATTTCTTTTGCTATTTTGCTATTTCAACATGAGTGTGCCTTTTCATTTATAAATTTACAATTTATGTAAAATTATTTTTTTTTGTTGCTTTAACGGATGTGTATCGTTCCATAAAGTTTCGCTTTTGCTTTTTGTCTGTCGGAATATAGAAGCCGTTTTTTTTCATTTATATTCGAACTCGAATTAGACAGCTAATCGTTACATAACTCATATTTTAGTAACATTCATATAAAAAAATGATCACCTCTTTTGTCATTTTACTTTGCCACAGTTGAGACAATGTCAACTTTCCAAGTTTCATACAAATCAGAAAGTTTTGTTTAAGGAGCACAATCAACATTTTTGTCGAGCAATACATTCTGTATCAAGTCCAATACACAGACAGATTCCAAGATTATTTTTAGAGATATTTCTAGTTAATAGATTATTATAATTTAGTCAATCACGTTGGAGTTAATGTAGTAACTTGAAATATGAACTGAGAACATTTTTCAAAAATTTATATTAAAACAAAAAATCAAGTACTAGAAGAAATATGTACGGAGAGCATTACTAAACTTATTGAATAATAACTTTATCTATTCTTGTAATATAACATTGATAGTATGTATAGAATCACTTCTCATGTTCCTCAAACCAAACTGATTCCGTCACAGCTACTATTCTTGTTTTCATTTTTGACAAGAATGACGATGAACGAGATGTACACACGACTGGCTCTTGATAAGACATACATTGGTGTGCTGTTTTTGCTCTAAGACGACAATTTCTGTTATGCAGACGATAATTTAGAACAACCATTATGCACTGAATTATTCAGTAGGATTTTTCAATTTTGAATACAATGGCTCTTCATATTCCAGATTGTCCAACCAGATGTTAGGTTCTGGTCGAATATAGGATTATGTATAAATGCGGATGATAGATTTTTCAAATGATCATTGGTGATGATGACAGCAATCTTTTTCCTTCTTTCTGTCGCACTGTATTTTAACGGCTGCTAAGAAAAATCGATCAACATTCGAATGACTCTTAGTACAATGAATGCAACCATTATTTTTAACTCGTGTTGCTATTAATAGCTAGACAAAAGATTTACAATTTAAAAATATCTTAATGATTGAATCAGTACACAGTAAGTCAGAGATCATTGAGTTGTCTAGCATGAACAATAGTTCAGAGCCTTGTTCATGTGTTTTTAGATTAAAAAGTATCATTCTTAACAAAGAATATAGAGATCGGATTTGAAGACTAATCTGAAAGATCATCTAACAATGAACTGAATTCATTATTGAAATTTTTTAAAAGCAAATCTTGACGGAAAAAATCTTTCCAGATATTTGTCTTTTTTTTTCAAGATAGAATTTACAAAATATCTGAAACAGTACCGTACTCATTTTCTGGTAATGCAAAGCTGTTCAAATGTTTTTTCAAAAATAAAATATAAGTATAAAGTATTTAATACTAGCAAAGAAATAAGTACTTCTCTTGAAAACTAATGTTCGATATGTTTTTCTTATCTTTTTCTTTTTTTAAAAAAAAAGAGAAGAATACCTACAAAAAAAAACAAAATAAAAACCAAAAGAAATGCTGCATTTACATAATAGAAGATTAGACCACTGTATGTTTTTCTTGAGCAATGTCACAAATTAAAAAACACTTCATATCTTTTTTACTTTTTCTCCATCTCTTTTAAGTGAATCTTCTCCAATATCATCATTACTAACAATCATTAGAAGTTTTTTAATCGCTTGTAAAGCATTATTCACTTGTTGTTGACTTCCTTGAATATTAACAATACGTTTTCGTCGATCCCCATTATCATCATTTAAATCACCTATGTTAACAATAGCACCAGTTTCACGTTGTAATTGCTGAATTCGTTCACCTTTTGGTCCTAATAAAGCACCAGCTTGCATATCTGTTATTGGAAGTGTTTGACGAATTGAAACAGGCATAAGAACACGATCAAAATGTTGTTGAGAAGAATTGTTCGATGATAGAGGAAATAAAGAATTTGTTCTATTCGTATCATTTTGAGTCGGAATATCTGAATAGCCACCATAGAGATGAGTTTTTGATCTGTTATAGTTGACTGGATTGTAAGGATTATATGCGATGGGTGCGACTGAAAAAACATAAATAACAACTATCAATATAGCAAAATTTTAATCAACAATTAAAGTTCGAAAAGGGATCATTCAAAAAAACAATCCCTCCGTTTTTCGAACCAATATAAAGACCAAAAAAATGAAACAAAAATACTGAACTACTTATAAGTGTTCACTATAAAAACATTTTTTTTCGGTCTTTACTTTTATGTAAAAGAAATGACAGTGTTATTGCCAATGCGAGTTCTATGAAAAAGCAAATAATAAAAAAAAAACACAAAAATCATCTCTAGTAAATATTAAAATGATTATCGATGCTTGGAAAATAGGAAAAAGTTTTTCATTCATAGATTTAATAATTGAAAGAAAATTCAGTTTTACTCTTAATCATTTAGTAAGCTATAATGTTCATGAATAATTTTTTGCTCTCAATATAATTAGACAATCGAAATAACAGATTCTTCTACGATTAAATATTATTCCAAAAACATCTCTCTCTCATTCTAGTATTACCTTGTTGATTGCAAATAGTATAAATTTCTTCTAAGCATGACAACATTTTTGTTGAATCTTTGCAAATAATTCTTATTACACGTTCACTCGATTGTGGACAACATTCTTGAGCTGGTTGAAGTAAAATAAGACTATAATCAATACGTATTCGTTGTGCTTGTGTACCAATTGATGGTAAATATGTTTGATCAATAAGAATACGAACTTCTTCATCATTTCCTAAAAGATCACTAAGTAAATCAAAGGGACAAACAAGAATACATTCAGATGTTTGACAATCAATTCTTGTTATTAAATCATCATAAAAAAATACATCTGATACATATCGATCATATGGAACAAGTAATCGACATTTTGTATTTGATTTATTAAATGAACGAAATTGTTGTTGAGGATTAGACAATTTTAATAATTCTAATTCACCTTCAAGTTGTCGCGCACGATCAAAATCAAATGTAAATTCTGCATGACGTAATGTATTTAAACTTGATTCAATTTGTGTTAATTGTGTTGATGATGATGATGATAATAGATGATCATTAGTATTTTGTTCATTTAAAAGATTAACTATTGTTGAACGAAAACGATTTATTTGTTCATAAGCATCATTTAATTGTGAAAGAGATGTTTCATGAGCTTTATTAATTTGATCAAGCATTTGTGAACGCCATTGACGAAGAGTTTGTCGACATGTATCATAACTGGTGTCGAGTAATGACAATGAATCAAGTTGAAGACGAGCTGCACGAGTACGAGATATTAAAGTTGAACGACGTTTTTCAAGTAATTCTTCAGGTGTTAATCGTTTTATTTCACTCATAGAGCTCATTGAAAACAATCTAAAGAAAAAAAAAAGATAATATATATATATAATAAGGTCCTAAAAATAATCAATATTGATTTATTTGTATTCCAATATGTTGAATCTGTACAAAATTTTTCTAATGATTGATATTATCTGAATATAGGATAAGATAAATATGTCTTTTAAAAATACCATTAGTTAAAAATAGAATATCGTTTGATCGAGTTTTATCAGAATATTTTATATGTATTGTATAAAAACTCTTGATTAGCATCAGAAGTTCATGAATAAACTAAAACGAAATCAGATTAACGATAAATATGGCCACTATGATATTTTATATTTATTTTAACATGAACATATCCAATGAATTAAAAATATAGAAGAAAAAAAAACATCGGACCTATTCATGACCGATACTTGACACAGTCTTTTATTAAATCAAAACTCTACTAGATTCAATTCACTTTTTCTTTACAAAGCGTAGAAAAATGGAAAAAAGAAATTTTTCATTTCCATTGCACCTTCATTGATGCTTATCAAAGTCTATATATGAATTTACTGAGTCGACCATTGTTTTACTTTCTTTATCGAATAATACATGAAAAATCACACAGAAGAAAAAATAAAGATAATTGATCATATTTTAAGAATAAATACATTATATTTACAAAACAAGAAAATATTCTAATTCTAAGATTAATTTACACGAAAAGCCAATCACAGGTATTTATATGGCCATAAATAACAACTCGGATTGGAACACATATATTTAATCAATCATTCAACAGTAACAAATAAAAAAGAAAGAAAATAAAATAAGTTTAGTTAGAGTTAGATACAAATGCAACGATTAATATGAAAATAAATACCGAAAGAAACTCACTGGATGGCAATATAAGCAAGTACAAAAAAAAAAGAATAAAGGGATCACTATTGTTACTAAGGATGGCGACTATAAACTATTTCCAATCATCAGACACCGATATCGTTGATTCAACCAGATTTTCTTCTTCATCATCAACATAGATTGCCTTAAAAAGCAATAATAAATTATATTAAATACAATCAAAATGTTATTATGAATTATACTTGAAAATTAGTATTATCATCTAGATTAATAATTTCATTTGTGGTTGATATAAGTAATGGTGCTGTTGTACTTGATAACCATTTATCAACTTTTTCAGTACAATCATAACTATGAGATCGAGTTAATAATGGTGAGTTATTATTTATAGTTGTGTGTTGTTGTGTTTCATTTCTAACTGAACGATAACCTTCATCAGATATTTGACGTTCAATTTGAGCAATTTGCATTGTTAATGACGAGAGATGTATTGGTAATTCTTCTACAGTTGTTAATGGAGCAATTAATGAAGATTGATTTTCTACTTTCGAGTGACTATCATGAGATGATGATGAAACAATTGTTTTTTTATCATCTGATGATGATGATGAACGTGCTTGTGGTATATTCGTCGATATTGGAATAATAGATGTTAAATCTTTAGAAAGATTTGTTGCTTCAACTAATGATGATCCTTCAGAAAATGTATCCAAAGCTGAATCTTGAATATCATCATCTTCAGGAATTTCACTATGTTCTTCAGCGATTTGTACTGATAAATGATCTTGATAATATTTTGATAATTCATATAAATATGATTCAACACTTTGTTCCATTAATTGAAGAGCTTTTATGGTAGGCAAAAGTTCATATTCATACATTGGCATCGATGGAAGAGTATCAGAATCACCCATAGATGTACGAATATCATTGTATAAATTTATCATTTGTGATGAATGTGTCATAACGAAATTCTAATCAAAAAAAGAAAACTAAATTTTTTTTTGAAACTACAAAAATTTTTTTTGCATATCGAATTCTTCTATTCTAATCTATAAATGTTTGTAAGGCATTACTTTTGCAGGGTATTGAGCTTGAGAATATTTTAAAAAATTAACAGTCAATCGTATTTCGAAGTAACGCTTAACAATAATAATAATATTTCAATTTATTGGACTGAAAAAAACTTTTAGAAGACTATAGATGACCCAATATTTTTCTTTTGTGATAATTAAATTAATCGTTCTTCTAAGTCATATGGTGATATCTAGCTCTTTGTAGATGCTATCGAAAACATTCTCTTCTAGTTATTTCTATGATTAGACTTGTGTTGTTATTTTTGCTTTATGCATGTAGCTTTTCATTCTATTCAATGGTTCTGTTTTTCATTCCTCATTTTCATAAAACAAAAATATTTTTCTCTCAGTTCGACATGTCATAAACAATCATTCAATTGTTACCAAAAAAAGAAACATATACAGGTGGGATAAATATTTAACATAAAAAAAATTAGAAAACATTAACAAGTAAAATTCAATGAAATTCTTTTAAGATTTTCAATAGATACTTATAATGTCCTAAAGTTGTTTATGTAATGTTTTCAAAAAATCCTCTCTAGAAGTTTATTCTTGTATAACAAGAAAACGTAATCTACTTCATTTTTTACTTTGTGAGATTTCGAAACAAGCATATCAATGAAGAAAATTACTTTTCTATTCTTCTTATTTTTCTTTCCATGAATTGATTGTTGTTGTTTCTTTTTGGTAACTCCAGCATATTTATTAAGAATATCTGATGGTAATTCTTTTTTATATTCAATTGAATTTTGTCGATAGTATGGTGAATGTATTATTTCATTTGTTATTGTTGATTTAATATCTAATGGAATAAAATTTCTTGGTAATTTCATAGCAATAGCAATAGTTGGTTCAATTGTTTTTATAGATAAATTATTCTCATCATCATGTTCATTCATATAAGATGAAAGAATTGTTTGTTCTTCAAAAAGTGTTAATGATTGATAAAGTGGTGACATTAATTCTGAAGATGGTGTTGAACATGATGTATCATTATTTGTTAAATTATGTTCAGACATTTTTTCATGAAAATATTTTAATAATAAACGAATTTTTTCTAATTGTTCATTATATTGTTGTTTTTCATATTCCAAACTAAATAAATAAATAAATAAAAACTATTATTTAAATATGAACTAAATGATAGAATAACTAACGTATCTCGTTCAAGTGATGCAAATAATTGAACAGGTGAATCAATTAATTTTCGTTGTGGAGTAGATGAACGGCGACATTGTTTTTTCTTACCGATTAATGTTAAAATATGTTCACGTTCCAAACGTAACTTTTCAATATCTAAAAAAGATTTTAAAATAAAATAAAAAACAAAAAATATTTGATTTCATTGTTTTCTACCTGCTTCAAGTTGAGGCAATCTTGTTGCACTATCGATTAATAATTGTTTTATTTCAGATTGTTTACGTGATTTCGAATTTGAATTTTCTACAAGTTTCTACAAAATTAATTAATTATTTAATAAATAATAATTATTTTTATTTGTTTTACTTCTCGTTTATTTCGTGCTGCTATTTGTGCATTTTCAGCTTGTTCAAGTTGTTGAATATATTTATCTTGTATTCTATATAGAATTTGTCAGTTTTTGGTTTTTAATAAAAAAAAAAAAGGTTTTTATTAAACGTACTCTAATTGTGGTAAAGCTTGAATAATTGATTCTATTTTTTGTTGTGCTAATTTTCGATAATCATCTGATTTATTCGGTTTTTCTAATTCTTTTTCATAACGTCTAAATAAATTTTGAAAAGAAAATAGATTGTAATCTAAAGAAAATCAATCTTACTCTTTATCATGAAGTGCTATTTGTAAATTTGTAAAACGAAGTCTTGAATTAGATCGAAGAATTTGCATTTTAGCATTCTAAATATTAATCAAACTAAAATATTATGATATCATTTTTAAGAAATAAAAATACCAAAGCCTTTTTAGTATTTGTTTGAGCAATAATATCTTTGGTAATATCAGCAATAGCAGAAGTTAAATGGCCTATTTCATTTCGTAAAAAATCTGCATCTTGTATTAATTTTTCAACATCATATTTTGTCTAATAAAAGAAAAATATTTTTGTTTTTTTATTTACATTCTATTTTTATGGTATTAAAATACTTTTTCACGTGTTAATTCTTGAAGTTTTAATTTAATGGCAGATAAACGACGATTATTCATTTCATGAAGTGATCCTGTATTTGAACTAAAAAGAAAGATCAAATAGTTTAAAACAAAAACTAGACACCATCCTAGTTTATTTTTTCTTACTCTATTTGTCGTTCATCTTCGTCACTCATTGCTGCTGTTAAATGAAATTGAAAACAAAAAAGAACTAAAAATTTGCTGCTATTCTATCCACTTGAATTTAATTGACATTTAACTGTATTCTTTTTTTCGTTAGATTTATCATACAAAAAATGAATCTGTTAACATTAGTTGTTCAATTTTGATCATGATGAACTTGTAAAGATTCCTTTCAGTTTGACATAATTGCTATGTAGACGATAAATGAGAAAGATAAGGAAGGAAATTGTCTCGCCGAATCAATCTAGAAATAACAAACAAGTCACAACAACTATTACGTTTTTAGAAAAAAAATACACTTGAAGATAAATACAGATGCGTATAAGCGTAGATGTGGCAGGTAAGAGACGTGGCATGACATATGACTAAAGCAATGAAAAAAAACTTAATGATTCAGGTAAAATAATATACCATTGTACTAGACCAATACAATTATGAGAATTAACCTCTTCTTATTATTTTTAAAATTGTATAGTAGAAAAATTTTCATTTTTAATATTAAGGACTTTTTAGAAAAGAAACTCGAAATCTGTATAAATAATCTTCAATATGACTTCTACTGCCCTCTATAAAGCAATGTAAAATTTCGAAAAATTTTGACAAGTTATCATTTATAGTATTTTTATTTACAACCTGAAATCTTTTAAGAGATTTCGGTTTGAAAAAAACGCCAAATTACCTGGCAACCGATAAATACTAAATGTGAAATGGTTGTCTAATAAAGCAAACAAATTTATGGAGTTTAGGTTACAAATATTTTAAGCCCACGGCAACGTACACCTAATCCCATT